GGTGCTGCTAAACACCATCCGTACAAGGAGATTCAGTGGTTTATCAATGGCCCTTACAGACTCTAGCGTACAAGGAGATTCAGTGGTTTATCAATGGCCCTTACAGACTCTAGTGTACAAGGAGATTCAGTGGTTTATCGATGGCCCTTACAGCCTCTGGAGTACAGGGAGATCAAGTGGCTTTATCAATGGCCCATATAGCCACAGGAAACCTACATACATACACAACAATCACAATTAATAAATATTGTTACTTGACAAGTATAGCTTTATTAATTAAATCAGAAAAGTATTGTCTAATGTGGTATTAAGTAGAAATGTGTTGTGATTTTTTAATAGTACAATAATGTGTTATTTATTTGGAAGCTAGAATTTTATGTTTTTTTCCTTTTTTCTGGAAACTGAAAGAAAAAGCTGGGAATGCTATGACTGTAAATGTTTTAAGTTAGTGTCATGGCTACATAGTGTTCAGTGAATATTCTAAGTTAGTGTTGTGGATACATAGTGTTCAGTGAATGTTCTGAGTCAGTGGCGTGGATACATAGTGTTCAGTGAATGTTCTGAGTCAGTGGCGTGGCTACATAGTGTTCAGTGAATGTTCTTAGTCAGTGTCGTGGCTACGTAGTGTTCAGTGAATGTACTGAGTCAGTGTTGTGGCTACATAGTGTTCAGTGAATGTTCTTAGTCAGTGTCGTGGCTACATAGTGTTCAGTGAATGTTCTTAGTCAGTGTCGTGGCTACATAGTGTTCAGTGAATGTTCTTAGTCAGTGTCGTGGCTACATAGTGTTCAGTGAATGTTCTTAGTCAGTGTCGTGGCTACATAGTGTTCAGTGAATGTTCTTAGTCAGTGTCGTGGCTACGTAGTGTTCAGTGAATGTTCTGAGTCAGTGTCATGTCAATATAGTATTTTTTTAACATTATCTTTAGTTTTTCCAGATAAACATCCAAAATATGAAACGAAGGTTGTTGTTTTTTGGAACACTAGGCTGAATGCATTGTAGCTATTACCATACTTAATAATAAATACTGTTTGGATCTGTACTTAGATGAACAGGTTATCCAACCACCACCTGCTATCGAAGAACTACTGGTATCTGAACGAGAATTACAACGACAGCAACGCTTACAACTGCAGTCAGACTTGCTGCTTAAAAATCAAGGATCTGAAGAGACTGAAAGCTTGTTAAGTATACAGAGATCAAAGAGCCAAACAGAACTTGATACTAGAAACTTGCCACAGCATCAAAGACAGTATAGTTACCCTGACGATCAAAGTTTGGAAGAAGATGAGGAAATTGCACGAAAAGAAAGAGAAATTATTGAAAATCTAGAACGAGAAGAGAGGAATCAACAAGAAATAGACAGAGGTAAAATTTGGTTCATATATTTGTTATACGTGCAGTTGCAAATTCGTTGTCAATTTTAAGCCTAAAACTCCCACGTGTTGTCCTATAAAATATGTTATATAAAATATGTTTTCTACACAAATTTGAGTTGAGCATTTATCAGTCTTAATAGCTTTCTGTCTCTCATCGTGCTATACAAGAATAACTACTTGTGGGTAATTTTGGTCTTTACTAATTTTTCGATGAATGAATAATAACACTTGTTTGATGTTACTTGTTTTTGTTATTTTCTAATTATCAGATGAGCAAGAGCTGAGTATTGCTGACCAACCAATTTGTGTAATGGAAGAAGATGAGAGAATTCGAAGACTTCAGGAAGAAAGGAGAAGAATGTCAGAAGAACGAACGAGGAGGGAGGAGCAGCGGATAAGATTGGAAGAAGAGAGTCAGTTCTCTGACAAAAAAGAGTGTTCTCGACAGGTATGATAACTTGTGATTATCTGTACTTGTCATGTTTTGAAATCACCTTTATGTTGTAATTATATACTTATTTGTTTAGTAACATGCTGTGTAGACAAAACAAAAATTAAACATTTTGTAAACTTATTTCAGTTTTTATTTCCACTAAAACGCTTACAGGGTCAACTAAAGTAATAGTAAGGAGTATCGGCTTAGCAACTTGGCCTTTAAACAGTCCTTGGTGAATTAAAAGTTTTGATTCTGTAATAGGAAACATGACATTGTGAACTTTGAGTTGTAAATAACAAGTATAGTGGCACCATGCAGCAATATTACAGAAGGTGTTTATTAGCCCCAGGATTGTTACTGTAAGTAACACATACAGAAGGTGTTTATTAACACCAGGATTGTTACTGTAAGTAACACATACAGATGGTGTTTAGCAACACCAGGATTGTTATGATAAGTAACACGTACATCGATGGCCCTTACAGACTCTAGAGATCCAGTGGTTTATCGATGGCCCTTACAGACTCTAGTATACGGGGAGATCCAGTGGTTTACCCTGTACACTTGCAGATACCCTTTTCTTTCTATAAGGAATATGTTAACCTTAAATATTTAAAAATTTATCTTTAAAACTTTGCCACATGTGATCAGTGTCTCCAAATAACTCAGCTGCCCAATTTACAACAGGTAATTCTGTCACATCCCTTCAAAATTTGCCTTTTTGAAATTTGTAACCAAAATATCATTATTCCTTACCTCCATATTCAGCAAAACATCGGACCTAATAGACCAATGACCACTTGCACCCAGATGATCCCCAATTTCCACCCTCTCAATCATTTCTATATTAGAAGTTAACAATAAACCT